GTAGTCCAGGTAATGGCAGGAGTCCAGGTACTCGGAAAGAAGCAGTGGCGCCTCATTTTTTTTTTTTTTTTTTGTAGAATTGGCCGCGTCGCCTAAGACATCCTCGCATTTCTTAGTAGAATTGGCAAACTCGACTGAGACACCTTCGCATTTCTTAGTGAACTTTGCAAACTCGCCTGAAACATCAGTTGTTCCTTGGGCCTCTCAGCCATGTCATGGTTGTCAGGAGTAACTATCTACCATTGGTGTCTTCCGACGATTACGGCGACGACGAACGAGCACGACCTGGCTGTCGCGCGGAGTTTTTTTTTTGGCCGGGTGCTAAGATAACGCCACGGTGCGGGGTGGGGGCAATGCCTTCGGGTGGACCGCCCCCTACGACGGCCGAAAAAAACGCATTTGTCTAAAGGATTTTCAATAGAAGCCTCATCGGAAAATACAAGCGGATCAGAACAATGAGTAGAGAAGGAAGAGGGGGAAATCGCTTGAAACATCCTCACACATCTTAGTACAATGGCACACATCGCCTGAGACATCCTCGCATTTCTTCTTAGAATTAGCCAAATCGCTTGAGACATCCTCACTTTGCTTAACAGAATTGTTTAAATCGCGTGATCACCCTAATTTCTTATTAGAACTGGCCAAATCGCTGGAGACATCCTCGCATGTCTTAATAGAATTGGCCATATCCCCTGAGACATCCTCACATTTCTTCTTAGTCTTCTTTCGTATCTTCGTTCGTTTTAGTCGTATCCTCATTCGTAGTCTGCGAGGGTCGCTGCTTTTTTTTCGGAGTACCTCGATTCCATGCGGATCATGAGGAAAACGATGTTTACTATCCGTATTCTTACAATCAGTCGTATTTTGCTTCTCATTACTCGTATTATTCGTTCTTTTATGTTTTTATTCTTCTTTTCTTCTTCCGTATCTTCGTATCTTCGGCGACGGCCAGCGCGATCTGGCTGTCGCGCGGGTATTTTTTTTTGGCCGGGTGCTAAGGTAATGCCGCGGTGCGGGGTGGGGGCGATGCCCTCGGGTGGACCACCCCCTACGACGGCCGAAAAAAAAACGCATATCTCTAAAGGATTTTCAATAGAAACCTCATCGGACAAAAAAACAAGCGGATCAGAACAAAGAGTAGAGAAGGAAGAAGAACAATACATCGTTTGAAACATCCTCACACATCTTAGTAAAATCCTCACATTTCTTCTTGGGAGTAGCCAAATCGCTTGAGACATCTTCACATTGCTTAACAGAATTGTCCAAATCGCCTGAGCACCCTCACACATCGCCTAGCATCACGGTAACAGTAGCATCACGGTAGCAGTAACAGTAGCATCACGCCATCAGGTTTCATCGTCATCACGGTAGCAGTAACAGTTACGGGGTCAGCAGTACCTGTGACATTCGCCTTATTCTTATTATTGTTCTTATTCGTATTTTCATTTGTATGCTTATTCTGCTTGTAATTCCAATTGGGATGCCATCCGAGGCGGGGCGCAGGAATTATTTACTTTCCTTTCAAGTGCGCGGTGCTACCCATGTCGCTCGGCGAAAACCCCCCGTGCAAATTATGTAATTACGGGGCGGTGCTAATGATAGCCCCGGGGGGGTCCCTAATCGCTTCGTGAGGTTACTTGGGAGGCGTGGGGGGAGAACAAGTTCCTGATTTCGAGGAGGGTCCTGGATTACCTGCTCGTTCCTTGTCGTTGGGAGTTCTCGGATTTGGAGGTGAAATGGTGTTTCAAGAGGGGTGGTAAAAACAGGTCAGTAGATTATCATATCATGCTATTATTACGGCGAGTTTCACGGATCCTGGGAAAGTTATTGTTCGTCGTCCTGACCCCCGGCCTGGTCAAAGTTTTAGGCCGTCCTTGGTCGGATGCAAGTATTCGACGTGGGCCGACGAGCATCAGGCTCGACGGCGTATGGATCTGAATTTAGGTGGTGCGATTTTCGCTCGTTTGGAGTGTCCGCCTGTGCTCAGTTCTGATTGCCTGCAGAGTACTATGCTTGAAGCGTGCGTGTCGCCTGAAGTGGACTTTACCACTACGTGGGCGGGGAGACCAAAGGAGCCGTCCAAACCGTTGCAGCTCACTAGGGCCGAGGGGGGGGTTCATGCGTGTCCGGGGGAGGAGGTCCAGAGGCTGAAAAGTTAAAGAACGAGGCTAATCGTCTTCGCAGAGGTTATCGACGTGAAATGATTACATACAGACATCCCGAGACAAAACGAAAAGGTCAGCTATACTATTCACGACTTGGTGGTGGATGGGAGGGAGACGGAGGATCGTGAGGAGTGGAAGGGGGAGATCGACAAGTTTGTTCGGCTCAAAGTTTCGTCGGGGGAGGTACGCAATTCCACGCGTGCTATGATGGAGGAGATCAGGATGAGGGCTGAACATGAAGTACGATCCACATCAGTTGTGGGAATTCGCATGGCACTGCTTCTCCGAGCACGGGCTCGACTGAAGACCCAGAGGGCTACTGGGCCAGACGGGATGCCGTGCGAGATTCTCAGGAGTTTGCCGTGGTGTACTATCAGATCGATCCAGAAGTTGTTCGATAAAATCATCAAACTCATGGTTCCTTATCCACAGTCGTGGTGTCAGATCCTCATCTCTTTTATGCGGAAGACCCCAGGGATTACGAAGTTAAAAGATGGTCGTTTGCTTTGTATGCAGACTGCCGTTTCCAGATGGTTCAGTTCCTGTATTGTTCTTCTGGTGGAGGGTCATCTTGAGAGAAACTGTGTTTTTCGTCATATCGGGTTGTATGGTTTCCAGGGGCATCGACGTACACATGAAATTACGGCTAGTCTCGAACATATCGGGCAACATGCTGCTATCTGGGGAAGCGGGGAAACGGCGCACCTGGCGAACGCTGGTGTCCTCCAGGCGTTCTACCACTGCACGGTGGCCAATGTCAGGCGTGGGTTGGATCATGCTGATGTGCCCTTGTACTTACAGTATGCTTCACTAAATCCCCTGTGCGAGTGTGTCGGCACTGTTTACTATGATGGTATTGAGGTGTTGGAGGTGGAGTGGGACAAGTGTAGTCAGACTGGAGGGCCAGATGGCCCAGTGGCTTTCAATCTTATCGTTGCCGCTATGTGGAGTTCTACGATTCGGGAATGGGACGTGTCAAGCTTAGGTTATCGTATTGAGTTTGCTACTTGTTCGGCTAGTTGTGTTTCGATTATTAATCACTTCCTTTGGGCTGATAGCTGTTATGTTCTGGTTCGGAGCCGGGAGGAACTCAATCGCATGCTACACGGTCTAACTATTTATCTACGCGAATACGGTATGGAATGGAAGGCGTCCAGTCTATTGTACATGGTGTTCGGTGCTGCTCCTCCGCGTGATGCTGAAGGTGAAATACTGCCGTCTGCGGACCTTGTTCTTTCGATGGGGTCGGAAAGTTCTGGAGTTTATCGTTCCAGGAGAGTGACGGAGATGGGGGTACTTGGGGCTCACGTTTGCTTTGAACTGCGCGTGAACGAGCGCCCAGATTTTGATGCGAGTATTGACTCGGCTCGGAGGGCCTTCTGGGCTCAGGCTTTTTTTCCGCTTCACGGTCATTCCGTTGAAAGATAAGTATGAGAGGTGCGCGCAGAGAGTTCAGAGTGTCTTGCTTTATACTGCAGAAGGTTGTACTGTTGATTACTATTCCTTGGGTGCTTTGCGTATCTTTGAAGGTGAATGTTTGGCTGTCATGTGTCGTTGTGCGCGGAGGGATGGGGAGAGTTATCAGGAGTGGAGTACGAGGAGGTATGAAAGAGAAAGGCAGAAGTTTCATGATGCACAGTATGCGAGTATTGTACAGAAGTCCCTCCGCGTGCACTGGGTGTGGGCAATCGACGTGACCGATTTCGCCCATAAGTTGCTCACGAATCAGGAGGCGCTTGAGACAAATTCGTCGCGAGCGTGGAGAGATTCTCGTTTCTCATGCCTGGCGTTTGGCCGGCTGTGGGACATAGCGGGAACTAGTTCAAGCGAAGCTCTCAGATGTTGGGGGAAATGGCAGGAGGCCAGCTCATTAAAACGACATCGGGGGGGGACAGGAGAGTGTTGGTCCTCGTTCGTGGTATCGCTCTTTGGAATCGTTTTGCGGTTTATCCTGGTGCGAATCGTTCGTCGGGAGCTTTGAACACTTCATGGACTATGCCACACATGTATGTTCTAATAGTAGGTTGAAGTATTTCCAGAAGAAATGCACAGGCTTGGCGTCTTCGGGGGTGCCTGTATTCTTGAATACTGATGAGGATGGAAGAGATCATATCGGACAGGATCGGGAGGACACACCTGCATATAGGGAACGACGTAGCAGACGTTTTGCGTTGCATAACATGCGCTGTGTACAAGGGGACCTTGAAACGGGAGGGATACCATTAGACATCCAGGGGGACTCCCTATTAGTGATCAACTGGCTGTGCGGCAAATGGAAAGTACTATCTCAGGTGTATCAAAGTCGAGTAGATATTCTGATAAATACGCTGGACGGCATGCAGAGTATGTATGCGGTGAGGCCTCCAGAGGCTGGCCGAGACTTCTTCTTTCATTCCTTTCGTGAATGGAACCGAAGGGCTGACTCGCTGACTCATCAGGCCCGCCAGGGCCAAGTGTGCGCCGATTTCTTTTACATCCGTGATTTCGAATCTCAGTGTTTTACTCCTTGCTTCATCTAAGCTGGCTTTGATTGGGGTGCGTGCAGCCGCGGAAGTGCCTGTGGCGTGTGGATGCAGATCGGTCTGCGAAATAAGTACATCTTCTCGCGGACTGACATCACTTACACGGATGTGTATCTCGCAGCATGGTGTTTACCACCAAGTGCCACGGTGACAGATACTGAGTTACCAGCGGCGGAGCGCATCTGTGATGTGCTCCCACATGCTGTGCAGAACTTCTTTGGTCATTCGCATGTATAAGCCACACTTGTTTGATTTATATCATACTCTTCTTTGCATATTCGAGCAGCTTCGCTGTATTGTTTGTTCTTTGTAGGTTCTTCAGTGTGCTTCTGCGTTTGATTGTGTCATTGCGTGCTTCTGATTCTCTTTGTTCCAACAGCTTCGCTGATGTGAAATAAGAGCTGACTGCTTGCGTGGCAAATAAGAGGCTTCGCTTCGCCTGAGACTTCGTTGGGCCTGGCCTCAGTGGCCAAGATGGTCCCAGCAAAGACGCAAAAAAATCTGGTTGACGGTTTACTGCCGGCTCCCAGTGGCGTGCCGTGCCTTTGGATTGCTGCGTGCGCGAGCAGCGGCCCTTTGGTTTCACTTGCTTGCGTTCAGGCACACCCGACGATGTCAGTATCTCGTAGAGCTCTTCGGCATCGATGAGCCTGAGGAATTCCTGCGCGGGGTGGAGCTAGTTGGCGCACCTGGCCCGGGCGGACAATGTGAGAAGTTTGGGTCGGTTGGGCGAACATTGTCAGAGATTTGACCATTTGTTTTGGAAAAGTCGATTTCTATTCCCTCTAGTGTAGCACGAGGCATGAATGTCTCGTGGCTGTAGCTGCAGTGCAGCTTTCGAAAATTAGGGGGAACCACCGGCCGTCGGGATGCAGTTATCGAGATGATAATAGTTTCGTGAATTTACGAAAGCAGTAAGGGAACCATATAGTTCAAGCATGATTTGCACCTGTAGTAGGTCATGCCGCGTTTGCTCGTGACATTCTCAGGTCCGTAGCTGCGGTATTACTATCCAACCATTAGGATAACTGACGTCGTATGAAATTCGAAACAGCAAATGTCTGCGAGTTTTGAAGCTGACATTCGAGACCGCTCCCTTCTCGTCATCTGTGCGCTGACTTGCGTGTTGAGAGCTCTACGAGGGTCCCGGCGGTAGCCTGGTTGACGGTTTACCGCCGGCTCCCAGTGCCGCCGTGTGTTATACTGCTCGGCTATCCAGGTCTTGGACGCCGTCAATTGATCCAGAGAGCTGATTGGCACAGCAATCGGAATGAAATCACCATGCGCGCCATTCTCAAGTATCTAGATGCTTGAACTCGGTCTGCTACCAGAGCTGGGTCCGAACAACTATTTGTACTGTGCTTATTTACATGAATGATGGTCTTATTTCTTGAGATAACTCGAGCTGCAGATGAGCTACATAATTCATTGGCACTGCAATCAGAAGAACATCATCCGACGCGCTAGTTCCAAGATATCAGTGCTTTTCTGGATGCAGCTCGAACTGCATATACGATTAGAGCTGGTCGGCACAGCAACTAGACGACGATCCTCAGGAGCGCTTCTTGCAGGTATCTAGATGTTTGATATCGATCTGCTACCAGAGCTGGAACAAAAGAAGCTATGCGTAGTTCTGCTGCCCGTCCTCTCCCTTCTTCTTTCTCCTGCTCATCTCCCTCCTCCATCTGCTCCTTCTCCTCTTCCTCCTCCTTCTCTTCTTCCTTCTTCTGATCTTGCTCACTCTCGCGCGCGCGGAATGCGAGATTGCCGCGAGGAAGCTCTAAGAGTTCCCGGCGGTAGCCAAGCTTGACGGTTACCGCCGGCTCCCAGTGTATGTATGTATGTATGTATGTGCGTATGCAGTGCTCTCAACCCCCGCAGGGGCGCCTTGCGACCGCAATTGTAGAAAGGGCGATGGCGGTCTTTCCGACGCGTCTGTCTATGTTTTGCTTATTTGCACGTTTTCGCGCGTTTCCACCGCCATCTGCGACCGTCCAGGAAGGTGAGGGCTGCGAGGGGTTGTCCGTGCCCTTCGGGAAATCCCCCACCTGCGAGTGCAGCGTGGTCTCGAGCTTGCTGACCATCTCTATGTCATCGAGATACATGATGTCCCAGAGATCTTCATTCAGCAAGCTCAGATATCTGCACATGTTGCAGCAGTGGTCAAGCGCGACGGGAACTCCGCCCGCCTCGTCCAGCTGCTTGCACGTGTCGCTCTGGAGAGAGGGACCCATCGCAGTGAAGAGGAACGCGATCTTGTGTTCCACGGGCTGCCGCGGAGCGCTCGATGCTGGCCGCGCCATCGCGGCGCGCGCGTTGGTGCCGCCGAAGCCGAACGAGGAAACTCCCATGGTCGCGCCATCCTCGGGCAACGCCGAGACAGACGTCGGGGCGACGGGTCCTAAGTGCTCGGAGCTCTCGTGCGGATTGAGCTCCGCGAAGTGACCTATAGGTGCTGTAGGCGCGCGAAGGCCTTGAGCGCGCCTGCGAGGCCTGCAGCATCCTCTAGATGGCCCTGGGTGGCAACTCCGCCTCCCGTACCATCTTGTCGGTTCTTGCGAAGCGACGCTGCTCCACGCCAGCTCGCAGCTCTAATAGACGCTACGTCGACGCTACATCGACGACGCGAATCAACGCGAAGGCGGAATTGAGGGGGCATGCGAGGCTCCAATGCATTGCCTCCGAAAGTGCCCATGCTGGATTCCCCCGCGCAGAGGTGCAGCTCGACCGCCTGCGCGAACGTCGTGTCCATGACCGCCTTGAGCGCGGCGACCTCGATGGGGTTGCCAATGATCGTGCCTGTGCCGTGACGCCCCACGGCGGCCACCGCGGCAGCGTTCAGGCCACGCTCGCGCAGCGCAAGCAAGACCACCTTCTCCTTGGGACGCACAAAGATATACTAGTACTATACATTCTCAGTGGAGGCGTGCGTCGTACCCATTTTATAGTTTATCGTTTTCCTCTTGGCGAGAAAGTGTCCGCCACGATGCATATACTAGAAGAGTTCTTGGTGCGCGCGTCGCCCCTGGCGGGGCGACGCCGCGCGCGCAATATTAGTGTGTTGGGTGGCGCGGATCTCCTGGGCAGTGCCGCAGGGGGCCGTCAGCGTCGCGCTCTTGCCGTCCTGGTTCATGACCGCGCTCTTCACCTCTGCCAGCACGGTGCAGCGGCCCTCATCAGCCCTCTGCCACCAGCGCCTCGCGCACCTCTCCGCAACGGCACGCGCTTATGGCCGAAATCGACGAGGAACGCGCTGTGCCGACATACTCGGCCCGGTGAGGCCGAAGGAGTACGACGCGCGGTTCGCGGCGATGGAGCTGGCCACGCGTGTGCCGGAGAACACGCTCGGCTTCGAGAGGGACATGTGGCACCAGTCCAGGCAGGGCAACGAACGCTCCATTCGCATTCTATATATAATCGTATCATCGTTTTCTTTATTTTATTCTCACGTCCAAATTCCATGAAACCGCGCCTCGCGCGCGCGAAATTCGAGATTGCCCCGCCCGCGTGCCATTCATGTATATCGCCAGGAAACTCTTCGAGTTCCCAGCGGTAATCAAGGTTGACGGTTTACCGCCGGCTCCCAGTACTTACGACTAGCGCTCTTGATGATTTTTTGATTGCTATGCCAAACAGCTCTGTAGCTTATCTATTGCTCGAGCTACATTAAGAAAACCGCCAGCACCTGCCAAAATGACACTCAACACCTAATTCCGCCTCAGTGCTTTATGATAGTAATATCCCCCCATCGACCGTGGATCGAGACGGCGAGTGGAACTATATTGAATATGGGGGAGGGGGGGATATTAGAACTCTAACGAACAGTTGAAGAAACTATTTTTTAAAATTGACCACAATTTTGCACCCGCGCACCTCGCAGCAGAGCCTTGCCCAATTGAGGCCGCGCCGACCACCCATGTCCTCCTCGCCAGCAACTTCCCGTCCTGATCATCCTCTCTTGGCGCGTTAACGCCGAGTGGGCCACGCCGACGGAAACAGCTTATTCCTCGTCTGACGCGGAACTATCCACCACTCGATCGGCGCCGCCGTCACAATAATATACATCCTTCATCCACGCGCACTCTCCTCGTCTTGCTGGTGCTTTGGAGGGGGGGGGCCCTCCCCGCCACGGGGCCAGCCCCCCCTCCGCTCCAGCCACTCCGCTCTCGCGGAGCGCCAGCGGAGAGAAGAAGAAAGAGCGAAGGGGGATCGCGCGCCTGCCCGTTCCGACCGCTCATCCCGTTCAGCCCGATTCAGCCCGATTCAGCCCGTTCCGACCGCTCACCCTTCTCGGCAATTGCCGCCCTGTCCAGGGCCCATCGAAGTGAACTCCGAAAACTACGCCGACGGATGCGAAACACTCCTCAGCACATTTGCGACCCCCCCCCCGACTCCATCCGATCATCGTTCGTTTTCGAGGCCGAAGCGTCCGCCACTTGAGCGGCGCCGCCAACGCAAGGAAATCCATCCATGTACTCACGCGCGCCCTTCTCGCCTCGCTAGCGCTCCGGAGGGGGGAGGCGCCGCCCGCTGCGGGGCCGGACCTCTTTCCCCCGCAGGCAGGCGCGCCGGCGGGCTAGTTGGCCCATAAGATCACGACGGTAGTGAATCGTAGAGCTTCCCCGAGGGCGAAGAGGCGAAGCTAGAGAGTAATTCTGGCGCGCTGACGGGCTAGTTGGCCCGAACATTCTCGACGTTTTTTTTTTTTTTTTTTTTTTTTTTTTTTTTTTTTTTTTTTTTTTTTTTTTTTTTTTTTTTTTTTTTTTTTTTTTTTTTTTTTTTTTCTTCTTCTTCTTCTTCTCGCTTAGTTAAAATCATCTTCTCGACGTCCAACAATTCGGTAGAGCTCTAATATTTCTCCCCCCCCACATTCGATCTTATTCCCGCTCGCCATCTCGATCTCAGGTCGATCGGGTAAAAATTGTTATCAAAAAACACTCTGGCGGGATCAGCTGTTGAGTGTCGTCTGGGAAGGTGCTGTAGGGTTTCTTAACTTAACTCGAGCTGTAGATGAGCTGCAGAGCTGTTCGGCACGGCAATCGAAATGGAATCATCAGGAGCGCTAGTCTCAAGTATCTAGATGCCCAATATCAGTCTGCTATCAGAGCTGGGACCCAAACGACGAGTCGTATTCTGCTTATTTTTTGAGATGCGGATGGTGTTCTTAATTTTAATCGAGCTGCAGTTGAGCTTCAGAGCTGTGCGGCACAGCAATCGAAAGAGAAACATCAGAGCGCTAGTCTCAAGTATCTAGATGGCAGAACTCGGTCTGCTACTGGACTATTCGTACTCTGTGATTTTTGAGATTATGATGATTTCCTTAACTTAACTCGAGCTGCAGATGAGCTACAGAGCTGTTCGGCAGAGCAATTGAAATTTAACCATCAGGAGCGCTAGTCTCAAGTATCCAGATGGCCGAACTCGGTCTGCTACCAGAGCTAGGACCAACAAACTCGTCGTACTCTGTTATATGATGAGGATATTCTTAACTTAACTCGAAGTGCAGATGAACTACAGAGCTGTTTGGTGCAGCAATCGGAATATAATCAGCATAAGCGCTAGTGTTAAGTATCTAGATGGCCGAACTCGGTCTGCTACCAGAGTTAGTGCCAACAACCTATTCGTACTCTGTTTATTTTTGAGACGATGATGATTTTCTGAACTTAACTCGAGCTGCACATGAGCTACAGAGTTGTTCGGCACAGCCATCAACAGGGAATCACCAGAAGCGCTAGGTTCAAGTATCCAGATGGCCGAACTCGGACTGCTACCAGAGCTGGAATCAAATACACATTCGTTCTCTGCAATTTTTTAAGCCTTAACTTAACTCGAGCTGCAGATGAGCTCCAGAGCTGTTCGGCACAGCAATCGAGAGGGAAGAATCAGGAGCGCTAGTCTGCAGTATCTAGATGCCCGAACTCGGTCTGCTACCAGAGCTATAACTAAACAACTATTTGTATTCTGTTTTTTTGGGTAGAGATGATAGAAGTTGTCTCTACGTTATTGAGCTGTAGGCTGGTTGCGGGGCTGAAAAGCATTTTTCGAAGCAGAAGGTCACCCGGTACATTCGCCTACGGTATCGAGATGTCTCCTTGTTTTTCTCCTCCTCCTCATCCTTTGCTTTTTCCTCCATCCTCCTCCCATTTCCCCGCCTCCTCTGCCTCCTCCTCCCCCTTCTCCTCTTCCCCCCTCTCTCCTCTCTCCTCCTCCTCCTCCTCCTCCTCCTCCTCCTCCTCCTCCTCCTCCTCTCCTCCTCCTCCTCCTCCTCCTCCTCCTCTCTCTCCTCCTGCATCTCCTCCTCCTCCATCTCTTCCGCCTCCTCTGCTCCTTCTCCTTTCTCCTCCCCGTCCCTCTCTTCTTCCCCTCCCCCTCCTCCTCCTCCTCCTCATCATCATCATCATCCCCCTTCTCCCCGTCTTCCCCCTCCTCCTGCTCGTGATCCCGTCTTCCTCCTTCTCCCGCTCCTTCTCCTTCTCCTGCGCCTTCGTCTCCTCCTCCTTCTCCTTCTCAGCCTCCTCCACCTCCTCCTTCTCCTCGCTCCTTCTTCTCCTCCACGCCCGCCTCCATGAAACTGCGCCCTTGCGCGCGCGGAATGCGAGATTGCCGCGCACGCATGCCATTCATGCAATTTCTCGAAATTCGACTATTCGTTAGAGCTCTCATATTTCCCCCCCATATTCAATCTTATTTCAGCTCGCCATCTTAATTTCAGGTCGATCGGGTAGATCTGACCGTCAAAAAACATGTCGGCGGGATCGACTGTTCCGTGTTATCTTGGCAAATGCAGTCGGTTTTCTGAACGTACCTCGAGCTACAGATGAGCTGCAGAGCTGTTCGGCACAGCAATCGACAGACAAATGCCAGGCACGCTAGTCTCGAGTACCTAGATGCCTGAACTCGGTCTACAACCAGAGCTGGACCAAAACAACTATTCGTACTCTGCCCATTTTCTGCATATGTATGGATTGTTTTCTGAACGTAACTCGAGCTGCAGATGAGCTACAGGGCTCTTTGGCGCTGCAATCGACAGATAATCGCCAGAGGCGCAAGTATCTAGATGCCCGAACTCGGTCTGCTAGCAGAAAAAGGGGCCAACGACTGTTTGTACTCTGCTAAGTTTTTAAGAGACAATGGTGAGTTTTCTTACTTTATCTCGAGCTGCAGACGAGCTACAGATCTCTTCGGCGCAGTACTCGAAGGGAAAACCAACAGCCGCGCTAGTATCAAGCATCTAGATGCCTGAACCTGATACCAGAGCTAGAACCAACCAGCCATTCGTACTCTGCTATTTTTTCAGGGCTCATGATAGTTTGCTCCATTTCATTCGAGCTGTGGGCTGAAACGCACTTCGCGAAGCAGAAGATGACCAGGTCACCAGGACGAGGCGTCTGGATTTGGTTAGCTCCGCCTGGACAACTTTTCGCACTGTAGATATTCTGCGAGAGATGATGTGCGTTTCCCGAAGTAGATTCGGGATCTAGGCCAGCTCAGAAGCTGAGGCACGCCAATCGACAGGGAATGCTGCGGAGCATCAGTCTACAGTCTAGACGCCTGAGATCGGTCTGCTACCAGAGCTGCCATTTTTTATATGAGAGACGGTGTTGGAATTCCCCCCTTCCCCTTTCTCCTCCTCCTCCTCGTCTTCCTTCTCCATCTGCTTCTTCTCCTCTTCCTCCTCCTGCTCCTTCTCTTCCTCCCCCATCGTCCTCCTCCTTCTCATCATCCTCATCATCATCCTCCCCTACTCCCCCTCCGCCCTTCCCCTTCCTCCTGCTCGCCATCCTCCTCCTCTGTCTCCTTCTCCCCCTCCTGCTCCTTCTTCTCCTCCTGCTTCTCTTTCTCAGCCTCCTTCATTTCCTTCTCTTCCTCCTCGTTCGTTCTTCTCCTCCACGTCCTCCTCCATGGAACCGCGCCCTCTCGCGCGCGGAATGCGAGATTGCCGCGCCCACGTGCCGTTCATGTATATCGCAAGGAAGCCCTGCGGGTTCCCAGCGGTGACCAAGGTTGACGGTTTACCGCCGGCTCCCTTTTTTTTCTTGGGCCTATTTAAAATCATTTCCTCGGCATTCAGCAATTCGTTAGAGCCTTAATATTTTTCCCACCCATATTCGATCTTATTCCCGCTGGCCATCTTCATCTCAGGTCGATCGGGTGGATATTACTGTCAAAAAGCATGTGGGCGGGATCGGCTGTTGAGTGTGATCATAGCATGTGCTGCTGGTTTTCTTCACTGAACTCGAGCTGCAGATGAGCTACAGAGCTGTTCGGCACAGCAATCGAAAAGGAAACAGTCGCAGCGCTAGCTTCAAGTATCTAGATGCCCGAATTCGGTCTGCTACAAGAGCTGGGACCAACAAAATTATTCGTTCTCTGTCATTGATTTAAAGATGATGATGATTTCAGATGAAGCTACAGAGCTGGAGATGAGCTACAGAGCTCTTCAGCCGACCAATCGGAAGGAAGTCATCAGGGGCGCTAGTCTCAAGTATCTAGAGGCCAGAACTCCATCTGCTACTAGATGTGGAACCAACCAAATTCGTACTCTGCTAATTTATCAGAGATGATGATGACCCTCTTCACTCAAATCGAGCTGCAGATGAGGTTCAGAGCTGTTCGGCGCAGCAATCATAATAACATCAAGATATGCGCTAGTCTCAAGTATCTAGATGCCTGAACTCGGTCTGCTACCAGGGCTGGAGCCAAACAATTATTCGTCCCGTGTTTTTTTCTAGGAGATAATGATCGTTTTCTCAACTACATTCGAGCGGTAGGCTGGCTGCGGAGCTGAAAAGCACTCTTCGAAGCAGAAGGTCACCAGGTATTTTCGCCTACGATATCGAGACGTTCGATCTCGGCTTGTAACCAGAGCTACGACTGGAAAATTATTCGCACTGTAAATATTTTACCAGAGATGATCTGCGTTTCCTGAATTGAATTCGAGATCTAGGCCAGCTAAGGATCTGACTGAGATGCACGCCAATCGACAGGGAATGCTGCGAAGCATCCGTCTACAGTCTAGACGCCCGAGAGCGGTGCCAGAGCTGCAACCAAACAAGTATTTGCATTCTTTAATTTTTGTGCGAGGCGGTGTTGGGTTTCTGACTTAAATTCGAGCTGTAGGCGAGCTACGGAGCTGGGAAGGACACCGCTCAACAGGAAATCATCATACAGTCGCCTATAGTATCCAGACGTCCTGTGCTACCAGCGCTACATCTGAGCACTCTGCCATATTTGGTAGGCTGCTCCTCCTCCTCCTCCTCCCCTCATTCTTCCTTCTTTTCCTCCTCCTCCGTCCCCTCCTCGTTCTTCTCCTCTTCTTCCTCTTTCGCCTCCTCCTGCTTCTCCTCCTCCTCTCGCTTCCCTTCCTCCTCCGCCTCTTCCATCTCCTTCTTCTTCTTCCTCCTCTCCAGTCCTCCTCCTCCTCCTGCTCCTCCTCGTGCTGCTCCCCTTCCTCTTCCTCCTCCTCCTCGTTGTCATCCTCCTCCTCCTCTTCCTCTTCCTCTTCCATCTGCTCCTTCTCCTCTTTCTCTCCCCTCCTCCTTCTCTCCCTCCTCCTCCTCATTCTCCTCATCGTCGTCATCATCGTCCCCCTTTTCCCCCTTCCACCCTTCCCGCTCCTGCTCGTCATTCTCCTCATCCCTCTCCCCCTCCTTCTCTTCTTCCTGCTCCTTCCCTCCTTCTCCTTCTCCTCCTCAGCCTCCTCCACCTCCTTCTCCTTCTCGCTCTCTCTTCTCCTCCACGTTTCCCTCCATGAAACCGCGCCTTCTCGCGCGCGAAATGCAAGATTGCCGCGCCCGCATCCCATTCATGTATATCGTAAGGAAGCTCTACGAGTTCCCGGCGGTGACCAAGGTTGACGGCCGCCGGCTACCAGTGCGTGCGTGTTTTGTTTCGTGTGTGTGCGTGTTGCTGTGAATGCGTGCGTGCGTGCGTACTTGTGCGTGGGTGTGTGAGTGCGTTGGTTTCAGTGCGCTTGTTTCTGGATGTCGGAGTGTATGTGTGACTGTGCTGGTGCGTGTGTGATTTTCGCACTTGCGGCGTGTGCGTGCGTGCGTGCGCGCGCGCGCGTGCGCGTGTGCGTGTGCGTGTGTGTATATGTGTGTGTGTGCTCGTGTGTGTGTGTGTGTGCGTGTGCGCGGGCCTCTGCTGGTGTGAGTGTCCGCGTGCGCACCGGGGTCTGTGTGTGTGTGTGTGGGTGTGTGCGTGTGTGTGTGTGCGTGTGTGTGTGTGTGTGTGTGTGTGTGTGTGTGTGTGTGTTTGTGTTTGTGCCAGCGCGCGCGCGTTCCCGCGGTTGCCGTGCCATTGTCGGCCCCCCCCCCCACTCGTCTCTCTTTCTCTGCCCCCCAGCCCCTTTCCGGCGCTCCACGAGGGCGGAGCGGTTGGAGTGGAGGGAGGGCCGGCCCCAGCATGGGGCGATGCCCCCCCCTCTGCAGCGCTGGCGGGGAGGGCGGGGGGGCGCGAGGGCGATCAGGGAGGGGGCAGGGGAGGGCGCGTTGGCGATTGCGTGGTCGTCAATTTGCGTGGGTGTCTGCGGATGCTCGCGTGCGTCCATGTGTCTGTGTGTGTGTGTGTGTGCTCGCGTGCGTGCGTTTGCATGTTTGTCCGTGCGTGTTTGCGATCAGTTTTGCCGCTGTCGCGTATGTCCATGTGTAATCCTGTGTGTGTCAGAATGTGTGTATGTTTGTGCTTCTGTTTTTTTGAGTAAGGTTGACTGCTTATGTGCGTGCGTGCATGTGTGTGCGGGCGTTCGTGTTTGTTTGTGTGTATTTGTTGGGGGCATGCGGTGTGTGTGCGCGCGTGCGCGGGCCTCTGCTGGTGTGAGTGTCCGTGTGCTCTCCTGAGTGTGTGTGTGTGTGTGTGTGTGTGCGTGTGTGTGTGTGTGTGTGTGTGTGTGTGTGTGTGTGTGTGTGTGTGTGTGTGTGTGTGTGTGCTGCGTGTGTTTGTGTGTGTGTGTGTGTGTTTGTGTGTGTGTGTGTGTGTGTGCGTGTTTGTGTGTGTGTGTGTGTGTTCGTGCCAGCGCGCGCGTGCGCCCCCGCGTCTGCGGCGCCTTTTTCAGCCCCCCCCCGCCCCCTCTCTTTCCCGCTCCTTTCCGGCGTTTCGCGAAGGCGAAGCGGTTGGAGTGGAGGGGGGGCCGGCCCCAGCATGGGGCGGTGCCTCCCCCCTCCGCAGCGCCGGCGGGGAGGGTGGGGGAGCGCGAGGGCGATCGGGGGGGTGCGGGGGAGGGCGCGTTGGTGATTGCGTGTTCGTCAACATGCGTGGGTGTTTGCGGATGCTCGCGTGCGTCCATGTGTGTGTGTGCGTGTGTGTGTGTGTGTGTGTGTGTGTGTGTGTGTGTGTGTGTGTGTGTGTGTGTGCGTGCGTGCGTGCGTGCGTGCGTGCGTGCGTGCGTTTGCGTGCTTTTGCGCTGGTGCGCTCCTGCCAGTGTTTGCGAATGGCTTGGTATGTGTTTGCGTGCGCGTGTGTGCTTGCCCGTCCTTGCGCGTGTGTGCGTGTTTGTGCTATCCGGGTTTTGGGCGCTACAAGTTGTCATCGTCCAGACGTGCTGGCTTAGCCGTCGGGGCATCGTTCAGAGAAATCGTTGGTGCCTCTGTCGATGTCGCTGTTCGCGATGCTGTTGTTGCAGCCGTCGGGCAGCAGTCGTTGAACTGATCAGATGCGCTGTCAGTGCTGCAGCGGGGACCGCTGTCTGCAACCGTTGGGCGGCAGTCGGTGAACGGATTGTTGCCGATGTCGATGCCGCAGCAACAGTTGGTGATACTGCTGGTCAGTGGGGGACAGCAGTCGGTGAACTTGTCGGTGCCGGTGTCGATGCCGCTGTTGGCGTTGCTGTTGGCGCAGCCGTCCGGCCAGCGGTCGAAAAACTTGTCGGTGGCGCTGTCGATGCCTACATGGAGGCTGGTGACGCGGTCGGTGCCGCGTCGTGCTGCAGTTGGCGTTGCTGTTGATGCAGCCCAAGATCGATCAATCGCCGAACTGTTGGGCGCCGCTGTCGGTGCCGCCCCGTTGCTACTGTTAGCGCAGCTGTCGGGGTAGCAGTCAGTGACCATATCGATGGCGCTGTCGATGCTGCAGTGGTAGACGCTGCCGCTGTCAGGACAGCAGTTCATTAACTCGTCTGCTATTGCCGGTTCCGCCATTGGTGATGTTCTTGGTGCAGCCGCCAGCGCAGCAATCGTGGAGCACATTAACGCTGTTGCAGAGGGCTGCAGTTTGTGCAACCGTTCGGGCTTGTCGGTGAGCCGGTCGATGCCGCTGTCGGTGATGCTGTCGATGCTGTAGTGGGTATTGCTGTTGGTGTAGCCTTCGGAGCAGCAGTCGGTAAACTGGTTGGTGCTGCAACGGCATTGCTGTCGGCGTAGCCGTCGGGGCAGCATTCGGTGAACATGTCGGTGCTACTATCGGGGCTGCAGTTGGCGCCCCTGTTGGTGCAGACCTCGGGGCAGCGCTCAGATGGTCCAGCCATGGGCGTGCCTGTTGGCGCGCTGTCTGAGCAGCAGTCAGTGAACATGCCAGTGCCGCTAATGATGCTGCTGTGTGTGCTCCTGTCGGTGCAGCCGAGGGCAGGAGTCGGTGGAACGGTGGGTGCTGCTGTCGGGGATGCTGTTGTCGGGTATCGAATTAAGTCGAGAAAACGTACATCGCTTCACGAACAAATTTCAGAGTGCACATTTTTTTTTGGTCGCAGCTCTGGTAGCAGACCGATCACAAGCGTCTGAATACTTGACTCGTGACTCGTAGAGGCGTCCTCAGAGCGAAGGCGAATTGACGAAGCTTAAGAGTTCTACCTCAAACGCTGGCGGGCCAGTTGGCTCGAACAATCTCGACGAAAGATTTGCATAATACCTCGTAGAGCTCTTTGGGGCGGCAAGTTTTCCAAGGAACTCAAGATTAAAAAATAAATGAGACATTCTGGCGTTTCGTGTAGGAATAGAGTTCCCCTGCAACTGAAGTAGTCCCTCTTCCGCCCGCTTGGAATCATCCGTTTTCTAGCTGCTATACAATTGGCTGTTCGAACCTCGAAAAAATGTCCTGTAGTGTTCAAGCATTTGCAGCAAGGTTATGGATGTGCGGAGCTCTACGAGGCCGTTCTACGGCCGGCACACAGTTTCGGTCGGTTGAAAATC